GTCCAGGGAGAGCTGTGAATGACTGTCTCCTGCACTGCAGAACTGTATCTTCAGGAGCAGGGCATAAGATAGGCTGGGGTGCACACTGTAACAGTAGGAAGCTTTGATGGGGGTGTTGAGGGACAAATCTAAAAAAGAAGCTAGTGGGTGGGATGGGAGGGGGGTTAGCCACAGGCATTTACCTAACCAAACACAGCTGTCAGGCGTGTGTGTGACTGTGTGTACTTGTGTGTGTGTGCACGCGTGTTTGGAGAGAGGAAGAAAGAGAGAAAGGATTATGGTAACACAAGCAGTCTGGCTCATTCAAACAGAGGAAAACACCACAAGGCTCTGGCTTGTACAACACACACACACCCGTGTGCACGCACACACACAGTCACACAAACCCTCGGTTCCTCTCCTCCTTCTCTTCTCGCCTTTCCACCAGGGCCTCCATCCAGCGAGGGCAGCCAAAAAGAGGGGAGTCGAGCCCAGATAACTCCCCGTCTTATCCTAACAGGATTCAGTCTGTACACAAAGGCCTATAAGAATAATGAAAGGGGGTTTGGGAGCAGTTGAAGGAGGGTTAAGCGGCGTACACAACCTCCTCTCTTATGTGCTAAGAGCGTCACAATCCCCAAGACCCAAAAACAAAGGTACTAATCACAGACTACCAACTTAAATACTATTTACTGGCCGACCTCAGCCACTGAGCCAGCCTTTGAGACAGAAGGCTCTCACTTAAGCTGCGATAGCGTGCAGCGTGTGATTAAATGAAAAGAAATAAATAAAACTAAAAACAAAACAGGTTTTGATCCTCTTTGTGAAGAGGCACGATGACCCAGAAAACCAGACCATAAGGGTTTTCCTGCACGGAAATTATAAAGGCTTAAATTCTGTCGATACTTTGCCAGAGCAAGCATATGCTGCAAAAAGGAAATTTTTTTTTTCCCCTGCATAAACTGAAATTTTTTTTACAATCCACATAAATCTTAAAAAACAGTTTTTCCTACTTGTTTTTTCCTTGATATTTGCACGAAACATCACAACAACCTGTCTATAAACTTCAATATTGTCTCCAAAAAAATTCCTCATTTCATTTCTTTTCAACAGCAAATTGTAAAAATAATTGCTTCTGTGCAACAAATAAGGTTATATGGGAAAATTATGTGCATATTAGTCAAAAAAATAAAAAATCTCCCCAACAAGACTCTTGGAGCATGTTTTAAAACCACACCACCGTTTTAAATTTACAGTTATAGTCATTTAAACTGAGGGATTTAAATTTATGTTACCAACACAAAAATAAATCGAGGTTGTGCAGGTCGCAGCTGAGGTACCACATTTGCCTCACGTTGTGCCAGGAAAAACCCCAAACACAAACTGTTTATTCTGGCTTAGCTTCCTGAAGTGACGGAACATTGTAATGGATTATGCAGAGCTTCATTAATCAGCAGCATACCAAAGAGGCACCCCCCCTCCATTTTTTAGAGATTCAAACAAGCTACTGGTGTGTTTGCTCAGAGAGCTGTGAATGTTTCCTTCCATATTTGCATTAAAATGTTGCTGTCAAAACTGTTAGGAAGAACAGGAGATAAGGTCATCCATGTAATCTCTCCCCTGATTTAGCATCAGTGTCAGAATTCTTGGGGGAAAAAAAAAAATACAGTGTTACGTGAGAGGAGCGTGTCTCCATGTCAGGTGGGGCCAGAGCGTCGAACGAGTCAGTGGATCTGCGAAAGGTGGGGAGAGACTGTAATAGAAAAAGAGGCAGAGAGAGCTGAGAGGTGGGGTGTCTGGGAGTGCACAGATTTGAGTTTAGAGGAGATGAGAGCGCCACTGACTGAGTTAACCCCACAGGCCTGTCACATCCTATTCTCAGCTCCACTGAGCAAGACAGGGCTGAGGACCAAAAAGGGTGCGAGTACAGTCACATGCTTCTGGCAAACTCGCTAAGCTTAATGATTTGGAAGCGAGGACTAGGCTAAATTGTACTAATTTAAGGTTGGGACAGATGTACTCCATCAAACACAACCATCACCTGATGAATCGGTGAGTCATCTAGCTGCAGGAGAGACGGCAAGGATGGCAAGTAAGATTCGAGCCATGGAAATGAGAAAATGAATTACTCGCTTCTCATGCAAACCCAGTTATTGTTGAATAAGAGGTAAAAATTAAACAGCATCATGTAATTCCGCCGCTTGGCAAAGAGACAACCTCTTGAACAAGCAGATTTATCAAAGTAAAAGAGAAACCTTTCCAGGGTAACTTAAACTGCACCGCTAAGAGGAAATGAGGGAAAAATGGATGAAACTGGATAAGACGACTCTCATTGCACAAGGATTTTTCCTTGTTTGGCTGTCGTCATTTTTGTCTTCCAAAAATATTTATTCCCCAAAGCCAAATTGTCTTCCACGTGACAGAAAAGTGGGGGTGGTGTGTGTGCGTGCAGCACACAAGTGTGCACTCATAGACACCGAGAACACAGAAAACACATTGTTGGCCAGACCCAAAACAACACAGCAGATTGTTTCCCACTGACAAAGAAGGTCTGGTTTCTCATAGTGAATCAGGGCCGATTTACTGCCTGTGGCTTCAAAAGACTGGAAACAGAAGCCTTTCTAAGAGAGAGTGCAGCTCGCTGAGCAGACAGCAGAAATGTTATTCGCATTATTCAACTGAATAAAGCCATAGGAGAGAGAAAGGGAAAAAAAAAAGATCCCGTTACAACAACACTGCTAGCTGATGACAAAAGGAAATTATTTACGCTAAATATAGCAAAGTTGAATTATAAAATGAGTGAGAGTTTCCTTTATTCAACCTACTGGAGAGGTGTTTAACTACAACCAGGCAAAATAAAGCGTCACTCATGACCTGACAAGAAGGCAGAGTGATAAATAGTTGAAAAAAAGGCCCGGGTTAGATTAAATAACGAGTCATAAAACTCGGCCCACATTCCTCTATATCTTCTGTTAAAGCCTGTCCCCACACAGCAGCTCAAAGCTCTAGCAAAAAATAAAGGAAAAAAAAAAATAGGTAGACCAAGGTGTTGTAGTACAGCACGTCTTCTGTTCAATCTCTATAGACGCTATTAATTCTTTATGGTCTGCTGCTGCCCAACCTTGTGCATAGGGCCCTTTCAGTCTCACAGCAAATTTTTTCATCTTTTGAGGTTAGTGATGCTGACGAACAGTCAAAGTACTCAGGATCTGCGAGTCTCTGAGAGGTCTCGCACATTTCTTTGTGCGTTATCTATCCCGGCAGTCTGCGCGCGCCATCTGCTATCCTGCGGCCTTGCGCGAGCAGAGACCCAACGGTTCCTTCTTTTACCCACAGGTCACAAGTTCAGACTGAGATCAACAATTCATGAGTCCTTGTAAACATGTAAAGTCTCCACGGAGCGGGAAGTGGAAAGAGTTGTGGACAATGTGAGTGCATGATGTGTTTGTGCGTGATGTCTTAAACTGTGTGTCCAAGATAAGACTAAGGCCGTGGTGGTGGTGGTGGGAGGGGTGATTCCCTATGCCTCTGAACTGAAATATAACTGAAGTGATGGAATTGTCTGCACACGTGTGATGAAAAAGTAGGGGAGGAAGCCATAGAAAGAAAAAATAAAAAAATAAAAAGGGATGTTGTGAGAATAGGGGAGAAAGGAAGCGAGGGGGAGGGTTGAGTGACCGGACAAAGCTAATCAGATTTTATAGATTGACCAGACTAAAAAGCTGATCCCGCCTTTTGTCCTCTGAAATGCCTGGAGGTGTCCAGTAACACATGTGGGGGACAGTGAGGCGCGGGGGCAGGGGGGGGGTGGGGGGTGGGGCTAGTGGTGGAGGTCAAAACAAGTTATTGAATGTCTACACGGGCCAAGACCATTGTTGTTCTGTCCCCTCGTGAGACCCTCAATGCCAAACAGAAATTGGAATTGATTGGCCGCCCGTTAATCAGCGGGTGAAAAGGATGCGGACGCAGAGGAATATGCCTGCTTTGACATCAGGATGACTGAATAAAGGTGGGTCAGGATTTTTCTCCTCGTGTCAAAGCTAGACGTTAAACTTTTTTTTTTTTTTTTTTTTTTAAAGCATTCATTTCATTTCAGCAAGATGAACCGTTTGTTTGGTTAGAATGCGTCAAAATCAAGAATGTTCTAATCTTCCCTGTACCGGACAACAAAGCGTCCTGTTGCATTTTCATCAAAACTAAACAGTACATATCCCAAAATCTTCTTTTAAAAAAAAAATTCATAGATAAAGTAAAACAATTTCTTAAAACTGTTTTTTCTTATAGCAACACTGAAATTCACACAGAAAAACAAGTTAAAAAATATTTTGCAGGACAAATTAAGGATCAAGAATACTGGCACTGATACAGTTTAGCAGCCCTGCAGAGACTGCTCCGTGCCAGTCACACACAAATGATGACAATCCAGTGGACATAGACTTATATTAAAATTAAAAGCAACTTGGACCATTTACAGATGCATCCTTGAATAATTTAAAACTGCCCTACATATGGTGTTAAATATGCAGCACTGCCGCCAGCCAAAAATCGCCTTTTTCCCCTCTCAGAGGCCACAGCTCTTAAACCCTTCTCCATTCTAAGCAGAAGAATATTCTTGCTCCAAATAGCCGGCATGCAGCCTTGAAGTAGCCCTGAGTTTAGGGAGGACTTGATAGCCTGTCTCAGATCTAGGCAAGAGGAAGGAAAGGGATTCCCGCCCTGTAATTTAGTAGGGGCTTTGTGGGCCAACACGCTGTCGCACTGATATTCTGAATCTCCGGGAGTAATCCAGGAGCCGTGTTTTATCATCTGCTCTGAAACCAGCTGCCGCCACGGATCATCTGACAAAGAGGTCTTTGTCAGATGATCCGTGCATCTTTATCCAGATGCAACATTTTCCTCGAAGCGTGTATTTGTCGAGCATGATTTAAAACCAAAACAAAAAACAACAACCCTATCAGCTCTAAGACTGCTTTATACCCTGTAAACACCCAGATTTTAAGAAGTTCAAATGTAGACAGTACCTGCAATACGAGTGGTTCCGGGTTAAATGCCAGCGTCATGAGCAGCTGCATTCTTTCCGTGTCCTTGAGGTTCTTTAGCAGGAAGCTGCCAGAGTCCTTGGTTTCGGCGTACCTGCGGACCACACGGTCCAGCAGTCTCTGAGAGGGGCAGTGCACCAAGTCTGACCAGCCCTCTACCACATCTGGAGTAAGCAGTCGAACATCGCCGTTGATCCGGGCAAATTCAGTCTTGTACATTGCCTGGATGAGGTCACATCGCGGCCTGCCTGTGGCCCTCTTGCAGATTTTCTGGTCTATCTCGGCCAACTCCTGGTTGGAGCCCAGCCGTTTGAGCACCACGCGACGAGTGCCCTCCCTGGGCTCTCCGTACTGCGCGAAGTAAACATTCTTGACATTGAAAACGTCTAGAAACCGCAGGCGACCCCAGGTCTCAAAGGAAACCTGGCCATTCATGAACTTGCGGCACCAGCTGGTGCCAAAGCAGGCGGGACACTTGTTGAGATTGATGAATCGTCTGTCTGTGAGCTCATTCTTCTGGAAGGACGCGAACAGGTTGTGGGTGTTCATCAACAAGATGACAAACAATCCCACCACCAACAGGAGCTTTAGACAGCGGTACAGGCGGCCAAGTTTGAGAGGCAGGAAGCGCAGCATGATGTGGATGGGTCAGGAGTGGGGTGTTGAGGGACAGGGGAAGAGGAGGAGGAGAGGTATTGAGATGATCGTCAGGGAGCTAACCTCAATGCCTCTCCGTCATGGTGCAAAGGGGAACCTTCTAAAGCGGCAGACAGGGGCGAGGTTGGCACAGCTGCACTGTGCCAGACTTTGGCAGTGGCCAGTGCGTCATGTTCTCTCTGCAGTTTGTATGTAAACTTGGGCCAGCAGTTCTGAAATCAAACAGACAAAGAGACGGAAAAAAATCATTACATGAGGGAAAATATAAAAGCTACACCTTATAATACCAAAATTCCAGTGCCTTGCCTTAAGTAACAGTGGAAAAAGGTTGATTTAATTTCCTTCTCACCCTAAATGCTTACATGTGATCCCACCTTGTAAAACAAAATGCAGCTTCTCTGGAATATGAAATAGTCGCACAAATTTGAATTGCTTGGGTCATTTGAGAGATTTCATTACTTTTTGAGCAGAAATGAGATGGCCCACAGCCAATGCAATAAACCTGCCTGTGCCTGTTTGAGTGTGTTCTCTTTGGGAAATCATTTCTTGTACACTCAAAGTATAAGAAAAATAAATAAAAAGGGAAAATAAAGTGTCAGTAATCAAATTAAGGGGAAATGTAAAACATCGTCCGCAAGTATTAAAATAAAATGTCCTGCATTCAGAGGAAGAGTCCCTCAGTGGGCCCTCCCTCTGCACCAATAAAAATATCCATCACTTTTTCTAAGATGTACTGCAGAATAACTTGCCATCTGAATACCTCAACGGTTACTTCTAAGCTCAGGAATCTTGATTTTGTTTCTCTTGCTTCAGATGGAGGAATCTCGGTTTGCATTGTGATGAGAGTCACACCGTGCAAAGTTTAACCTTTGATCAGAGCTGCCCTGCTTCGTTTTAATCACGCTTTGATGCTGTTTCTTTGAAAATGGCTGCTGTCGCTAAAATAACGTTTCTGGTTGAGAGGGGGAAAAAATGAATCTGAATATTTCTACTGAGATTATTAATTTTAGCCAAGAAGGGGGATGGCAAGCCCTATCTGAAGAAGAAAAAAAAAATCTGGGATCACAGTGAGAGAACAAAGCACTTAGAAAAACCCCACAAGCCCCACTAAAATCTGTCCACGATGAAACCATGTTAGACCCCCCCTACCCCCAATCCAGCTTTTAGGCAGTAAGTATTTTAAGTCGCTTTAAGAAATACAATGACTCAGACCATGCAAATTAGCCATCCTCAATTAGAGCTCATTAGGGCATGCCTATTAGGACAGCTGACTTGAGAGGGCATGGCTAACGAGCAGGCACAGTAGTGTGATTAGTTTGTGTGTCGATGGGTTCCCTTGCTTTTAGATCGAAGAGGCGGAGATTCTGGTAGGACACGCGGGTTAAAAGCAACCGAGAAAGCGGCGGCTGTGAGAAACGTGGGCCTGCAGCACGCCAAATAAGAGCCGAATGGAGAAGCTTTTACCCCACACCTCTGTCTGGAAATACCTCGAGCTGATCAGGCCAAGTTGCCTAATGTAAAAATAGACCATATCCAAATAGGGAACTACAGAGTGCCACACTGCATGTTTTTAAAAGGCAAAGAAAAATGTTATTCGAGCATTTTTTTCCCCCCCATTCTCGCCACACCACGCACAATGTGACTCAACACAGCAATAAGGATATGATTTTTTTTCTGACATAAATAAAGAGTGAGATAATGAGTTACTGAGAAACTTTACACCTGCATTTTCTACATGGGTAAAAACCTTTCAATCAAGCTTAAAATGCAATGATTTTAAGTGCTATGGCGGCATTTTTAAAAAAAAATTCATCTATTACAACACATTACACTGAAAGTTGGAGATGCACTGATTTATCAGACAATATCGACCACTTTCATTATTCAGCTTTTCATTAACTCGTATTATTGAACCTGGACTCTTGTGAAATAAAAAGCAGGAAAGCCGTCATTGCCTGGCACAAAAGGGATAATGTATAGCTACAGAGACACACAATGACAAAACATCTGTATCTGGAGTGGCCTTTGGCTAAATTGTTATTTTAAACATTAGACTTACCATTGGCCTCAAATTAACAAATGGTGCATCCTTAATGATGGCAATATTTGGCTGGAATCATCTAGAGAGCACTTCGTGAATATATTGCAAGTGCTACTGATTCTCACATTATCTCATCTCAAGATAACTCAGAAGCGGGGAAAAAAAAAAGAAAAAGAAAAAAAAAAAGAGCAGAACAGAAACTGTTTTTTTTTCCCTCCAATTTATTTCTAGACAGCATTTGAAATTAGCTCTCTGAATAGGGGGGGATAAATACATAAGTAAAGTAGGCCCACACTGGGCTGTCTTAGACAAAAGGATTCAAAAGGATGCATGTCTGTGCCTTTTACTACAGGGAGTGAGAGAAAGCTGATTGCTTGAGGGGAAAACTGAATTTCCTGTTGTTATAAAATCTCGATTCAAGTGCCATTTAGCATCTGACACAGGCAGCCATGACACTGACGTGACTGCAAGATCTTGGGAGCAGATATGAAATTTATCTAGGATGAGCTAAGGGCTCAGAGAGGACGAACCATAACCTCAGCGAGGCCAAGAAGTGTTTCACCTCTTCATCCGTGAGAGAAAGAAACAGAGAGCCAGGGCAAGCTTAAACAAACCCTGAACAAGACCTGGACAGCGCCGAGTAATGAGAAGCACAAGCTGGCAGCCGGCATGAAGAGAATACATCGCTTCGTATTCCTTGCCAGAAAAAGCGTTAGACCACAATTACATAAGGAGCATTACCTGCATTATGTTAGTAATCACACAATGCGAAAGGATCATTTTCTTCCTCTTAATGAAAGACAACTTTAACACTCAAATTATTGTCAATGAAACACACAAATCGGCCATCTATGGGTTTATAGCGTGCCACGATTAGCATGGCGCATGAGCGGGTGCAGTTTGAAATGCTACTGGAGTTGAGGGTTTTTTATAACCTGCTGCTGCTGCTACAAGCACAGTAATAGTGGGAATAAGATGAAAACATTCAGCTTTATTGGGAGAATGACATGGCAATTTAAGACGGGGATCTCTTTCCCTGGTAATTACCCCACTAGACTGCTTCCTCGTGAATTTTACACCTGCAAAACCATTTATTTAACTCCCCTCACTGACTATTGCGGTATGATGGGAGTTATTTAAGAGAACGTGGCGAGAGAGAAAGGCAGACTGCATAGGGCTCCATGGCAAGGTTGCCTACTCAGGTTCTTGCTGAGGGCAAAGTTCACTTAAAGTTCTAAATTAAAGCCAGATGTTTTTATTGAAGGGCATTGAAATTTAAAGCAGTGTTTTCTTTGGGGCAAACCTCACTGTGCCCACAGAAAACTGTTTCAAATTACCCCCCCCCCCCTTTTTCCTACCAGACAACCGTCACAGTGCCTCTTCAAAAGATGGGAGGGATGTAGAATACCAAGAGGAGGGGAAAAAACTCTGTTTAGAATAAGCACCAAATTACTTCTCATGATACAGGGCCGCTGCCAAAAGTGGGCTAAGAAAGTTTTTCAGCGTACTCAGTCTACAAAGTATAGCGGTGAGCGCTTCGAAAGAGAAGCAAAGAAAAGAGGGCAAATCAAAGGATGCCTGACTCCTCATGCATGGAAGATGAGTCCCGCATTCAAAATGTTCCAAGTTTGGCAGATGTTAAGAGCCGCAAAATGGCTCATTACTGGGACTGAAAAGGCACAAGATGAAGCAATAGGCCCCATGTTGGCTTAAAACAGAATGACAAAGGTTGAGACAGAGGAAGATGACATGGTAATATTCTAATATTTCAACTTTTATTAAACTTAGATTTTAAAAGAAAAACTCAGATAAAGAGGAGGGGATTGAAAAGGAAATTTCTTTCTTGAATAATCTTTCCTACAGCTCATTGTGTAAGAACCAGCTTCAGATAATGGTGTGCAAGGGCAAGGCTACTCTCCGGCTAACCCATTTCTTGACTGCACCTGAGGCTAAACTTCATTATGATATAATGAAGTCAAGCCACACAAGAACATGCTTGATTAATTCCAATGGAAATGCAAAAGAGAGTGCACGGTGGGAAGTGGGGAAAAGGACTGAAATACAGTGGAGAAGTCGGTAAAATAGAGAGAGAGAGAGAGAAAAAAAAGATAACTGATGTATAACTAGCGGCCAGCAAGAAAAGAGAAGCTTTGAGTTATTGCTCTTGTGATTGAAATGACTGGAAATAGATCACTTGAATACAGAGCAGCACTTCTCCATCTCTGAATGGATGCACACAAACACACACACGAGAGCGGCTACCTGCAGGACCGCTGGCATTACCCCCGAATCCTCAAAGCTGGAGGGGGGGAAAAAAAAGTAACCTCTGCCCCTCACCACCACCGCTGCCGCCACCACCGCCACCTCACTTGCTTTGCAATGTGTGGTTCTAGCTGGAGAGAGGAACTACTGTTGCCAGGATTATCGACCGTGGGAGTCAATAATGTTTGATCACAAAAACATTCAGCCGCAGCCGGGTTGCCTCAGTACAGCAAACACATAGACAGTGATGGATAGATACAAATGACAGTAACATTCGCACGCCTAATGGAAAATTGAGTCCTCGGATTATAAGTACCAATTAGCAGCATCCCCACAATGAACATTAGTCCATTCATCTCTGGCCCAAACCAAACACGAGAGGGGTTTTAATGAGAATATCAATAGTATCTGCTTTGCGCCAAAATGACGCAGCTGTTAAGAACACACTGCGAAGACCTACTCTGGATTCCCCAACTGAAAACAGCTTCTCCCTTTTCTGTTTAATTTAAACAGCTGCACGGTTGCACAACCCACGATCTCTCTGGAAAAGTTTGGGGAGTTGGCATGAATCTGAATCCCATGTTAATGCTACTGCAAGGCAAACATGTCAGCCGAGTGAAATGATTAAAACAAGCTGTCAAAGCGAGCTGCAGTTTAAACAATCGGGAAATGCATTTGGATGGGGAGGAAATGAAATCGATTACCTTAAAGACATTCGTTCTCCCACCTTTGTCTGTTTCTCCGTCTGCTCTACAAGTTACTTTATCTGAAACTGATTTGGCAAGTCTGGAGGTCAAAAACAAAAATATACTGCTGCTGTGGGAGCTTTTAGGCTGCAATTATGAGACGTTCCCCTGCCGAGCACTCAGAAACATTCAAATCAACCACCAGCAGAACGCCTTAAGTGTATCAGGCTATTTTCATAGTTCCCTCATCAACTAACCTAGCAGAAAGCCTCCGCAATTAGTCTCCCGATATAGAAAAATTAATTTTAAGCAGCCCGTCCTATTCATTAGACTGTAAAGAGAAATTCCATAGGACTTATTATGAGCTTTGTGTGGAACCAAACACTAAAACTCTTGTGCTAATCTTTTTTTTTTTCCTCCTTTGAAGGAATCAAGGGCAGCAGTTTTCAAAGAAAGTGCAATTATTACTATGCCACAGAAATCTCATGGTCAGATCTATTCATTTGTTTTTTAAATCCTCTCAAAGTTAAGCTTGTATTTTAGGTGCTTTTAGGCTTGATGGAGAAAAAGAAACAGGTTCAACCTGTTGTGTTTTTGCCAAAAGGAAGGCGAATCCAAAGCAAACCTGTTGAGATGAAGTGTTTTAAATAGCTTGAAACTACAGTGGGAAATTAAGGGGGGAGCAATGTTTTGTTAAATAAATACTAAAACGTTAATAGCGCCTCCGGCAAACATGATACCTCCTGGACACCAGCGTTGTTGCTGTAATTTAGTATGATCTGCATACAAATAGAGTTCAGGGGCAGCACATTGTCTTCACTCTACAGTGTATCCATTCTCATCCATTTTTCCCCCATAATGCTTTTCCCCCCTTTTTTGATTCAACATCAAATTGTGCATAGGAGTCTTGCTATATTCTCTAGTGCAAGGCAAATAACGAAAAGATTAAAAACAGCGTGTAATTAGAGGGAAACATACTAACCACCTATGCTTAGACGGTTCCGCTGCAACTAAAATGACACCACCAGCAGTAATAGCGGTAATAATATGCTTCTTGTCACCGCACAGTGGATGTGGGCATCTGATAAGAGTTTGTTTTTAAAAAGCGCTGAGGTTTGTTGTCCTTTTTTGCTTTAATTATCTTTGCTTGATCTAATGTCACACGACAGACACTCGAACTGTTATGCATCCTCTTACTGATATAAAAAAAAAAAAAATCCAAACATTGAGTTTTTATTGCTTTTATGGATTTATTTTTTTTTCCTTTATCGAACTGCTCAAAAATAGACGTGTGAGCGACTTCTGCAATGCACAATTTACCTCCTCTCGCTTTAAATAAAAAATACAACAAAAAACAAAAAGAGTTCAAAGGCAGCACGGACTGCAAAGAGAAGAAACAACTGTGAAACAAACCTGTGACTTTTCCCCCCTCTCCGGCTTTGTAGTAGTGAAATGGTTAGCGCTCAGCTGATATCATTCTTCAAAGTTGCGGCTACTTACGAGGCGGACGAGAGGGGACTTTAAAACACCGGCGATTGTATCTCAGCCGAAAGCTGCTTCTTCAAAGCTCGACGAAGATCTCTATCAAGCACACTCAAACGGGCTTCCCATTTCTAGCTCTTAGGTATCTAGCCAGCTAGCCTGCTAGCCGCTGAAATAAACAGTTGAGCTGTCGAGTCCTTAACTCTTCGTTTACCGGATGTTTCCGACTGGACGACGGACTCCTCTTTACAAAGGACAACAGCGTCCGTGCGGTGAATTAACGTCCATATCTGTCCGCGTGTTGCGAGTCCCGTCCGCGGTCACGGTATTGCCTCTTTTCTTGTTCTCTCAGGCAGCTGCTCACTCCTCTCCAACACCACAATGGGTTCTGTTTCGACTCTTTTCAACACCAGCCTCTTTACTCTTTACGACAACCGTTCTCTGTTTACGGGCACGGTTGCTAAGCGATTATTCTAATATTGTCTTGTCTGGAATGCCGCCCCCAGTGCAAACTTTACCAGAATTTCTATTTTTTTTCCTTTCATGTCGCTCCAATTAGGCTAACACCAGCCTTTTAAAGAATTTGTAGCATTACCTGAAATTAATGTTCATTTTAGATTGTTGTACCGTTTAGTTTAATGTGAGAAGGAAAGAAAGATGCTAGAGGTGGTAAGTAAAAAAAAACATACTGCTAATATAAACGGCTGCATAGCTAAAGTAAACTCATACAAGGTCTAATTGATATACTTTTTTCATTTTTTTCAGTCAACAAGCGCACAATAAAATAAAATAAAGACAATACACTGCAAGTAAAAGATGTCGTGCTCAGTCAATGTGGCCTAAAATAAAGACTAATTCATAAACCACTTAATTTTATTTTATTCTCTGTTAATTTCTGACTATGAATGATTCACTTACTGATAAAGAACGATAAACAGTACGATCAAATATCGCCGCAGCTGAGAATCACGCTTTCATATGTTTGCATTGTCTGCCATCTTCTGGAAAATAGGAGGATGACACCCAACGTGTGTTATTTTCTGTGGCTTACGAAAACAACGTCAATATTTTTTATTGATTTGCAAAAACATAATGTCAGCAGAACAGGTAAGTAACTGTGACACGTATTCTTTTCCCACGCGATAAAGGATTTAATATATCTCTCTCTGAATGTCCAGTTCTTGCGTGTGCTTAACTTTTCTTTGATTGTATCTGATTTCATCGGCCTACATTTGTGTGGCATTAATGACGAAGCATAAAGCAGCTCTGTATTTCGTCATTTATAAAAATAAAAAAAACCCAAAAAGCATACCAACACATTTTTATTGCCCTACATTATCTTATCTTTCTTTTTTTAATTAAAAATATGGTGCTTTTCCCCCCTCCAAGCCTTCGCACGAAAAAACTGCAAATTCCAAGTATTACTGAAGGCAGCACGGGCTCTCAGGGCGCTGCTGATGCGGATGTTGCTGTGTCTGAGCCAAAAAAGTAGCAGAGTTCTTTCCGAAAAGTTTGACCCAGGCTTTTGATGATGTCGGGCGCTGTGCAGCAAAAACAAGATACTGTAGCGTTAGCGGTGTTCGCTGCTGTCACCCTGGCACTCATAACCATCCTCAGTGTGTGGAAGTTAAAGCAGTTCAAATATAAATTGGTAAATGAAGCTGGGGTTGCAATGTTTTATGGTAAGTAGCCTAAATATTTACAGACTACGGAAGCCGTTATTAAGCAATACTTCCTGGACTCGGGGCTTGAAAGATGTATCGAAAATGTTTATAGAAGACATTTCTGGGGTTTCAGAGGCATGCAGTTTTGGACACCGGCATCTCATTTTGCTTTATTCATCATTTTATACGAGAACACAGCATCTTTAGGTGACTCCTGATATGCAGGTGTAACAAGCAATCAGTTGTCCTATACTTGATGCATGGAGATAGTTTTAAAATGTGCACATTTATGTCAACATGTGGCACATTGCACTTTCATTCTTTTCCAGAACCCAACGTTTTTGTTTTTAGTGTAATATAGTGAATTACCCCTTTAATAACAGTTTTTGCTGTTTGTAATTCTTTTGCAGGTTTGCTTCTGGGGTTAACTGTGAGATTAATATGGACTGATAAAGGAGAGCAGTGTCCGGGGAACACAACAGCAGCAAATGAGCAAGCGAACACTTCTAACATCACGATGGTCAACATCACACCACACGGACATGTCGGAAATGAAAAAGACCAGTTCAGCTCACATCCTGAGGTAACTGTGGTTGTTTGATTTCACCTTCCCTGACAAAACACATCAAAACAGAATAAATCCAGCGATCTGCCCTAAAATAAACATTTTCTCAAGAAAACAAAAATAAACTACATAATAAAAACCCCATTAAGAATATCTGAAAGCAAATAGCTGCATACAGGATGGTTTTTCCTCTGATGTAATTTCTTTTGACTGAAATAGCTTTTGTTTTCATGGTCTTTTCCTGGATCAGATCCATATTGTGCCTCTTGAGTATGCTGGCTATTTACATCAACAGAGTCCTCTAATGGTTCTTAGTTATTGGTTTTCCTTTAAACTCTCATGGTCTGTTTGTTCTTAGAAAAAGTCAAGAGTGGTGGTGCAAGGAAAGGGAGGACGAGAGAGCAATTTAACCTTTATTAAGGTTTTAGTCAGGATCAGATAGTGGGGATTACATTTTCAGGTGTGCCGTGCATACAGAGGGAAATTAAATTTAAGGGACCACATATGGACACAGTTCCAGTCAAGTAAAATGAAGCAACACAACACGGGTTTAATCACTAAACAACAAAACAACTAAATTAAGCTTTTGCTAGCAACTGTAGCGCTTTCTCGCAAAATTGCGCTCTCAAGACATTTCCCTGCTTGTTTACATGCAGCAAGCTTATAATGAGATACTCTTGCAAGCAGTTTTCTCTGCAGTGCAGGAAAGATGTAAGATAGCATCTCAACAGGCATTGTAGCATTTTGCTCTTAGAATAAGTTGGACGCTTCAATCTGTGTCAGAGAACACAGTAATGATGCAAGAATGAGGGGCTATGATAAAGTAAATAATACACCAAAACACAAGGATTTGCTGCTGATGATAACAAAAAGACCCAAATAGGGGTATGGTATGATTAAAAATCATTTAATTGGAAGCAGGTTTGATGTTTTTGAAATCCGAAATCTGGTTTGAGCTCCTACAGACAATGATTCGGATTATTCAAGTACCGTAAATACATGTTATTTCTGTCACTGAGGTGCAACAGGAGTAATGCTGCAACCTTAAGCCCCAAGCCTGCAAACTAATCACAGCAGTTATTTGTTAAAAAGGAATTAGCAGAGACTCTAACATCACTTCTAAGCAGAAAAGCCTAAGCCTCAAGAGCGGACCTTTGGCTGTCATCAGCATGAACACTGTTTTTTTCCGCCACGCTTTCATATTTTAGTGCCGTGATCAGAGATTTGTCATATCAAAGAAGCCAAACGATAAACCGGAGCTTCAGCCACACATGCACCAACGAGCTTAAGAGAACGCGGAACGAGGGCGTTCTAAATTGTGTTTCTTAATCTCGGTGCCACATTTCACCGAAAGAGAAAGGCAGCAGTGAGGCTTGAACGTTGCGAATCATCCCGGTCGAGTGTAACTCTTCGCTAATGGCTTGGACTTTTTGGCCCCTTTTGAATGCGGGGGTCTCATTAGCAAACCAGCAGAGGCTACCACAAAGGCCATTACATTGGTCAGACCTGTTCTGTGTTGCCTTCACGCCATTAAGCCTGATACATATGGGGTCCTAGCAGGGAGAGATAAGGATTTCATTGCATTACTGAGTCCATTACGTGCCACTGGGGAGTAAGGCATTAAAGTTTGTGGTCTGATTAAATTTAGTGCTGCTCAGCTGAAGAGGCAATTAGTGCATACACCACACCTCCATTCTCAAGTCTGTGGTGCAGGTGGCCCTTTGTATAAAACCCCCAGCATATGCATAATTTATTGATTACAGTGTATCTGTATTAGTATGTGTTGCACAGTTTTGTATTTGTCATACACAGCCTGCATAAATGGGGAAAAAACATATATATATATATATATAGTGCTGTGTGGGTAATTGCAACCACAAAATAGTAATTTGTATTGAGCTGGGTTATGGTAGCAAAGAAAGGAGCAATTTGTAGCTCTAGAAGCACCTCAAGTGTGAATTACTGAGAAAGCATATTGGCTTTCCTTACTCTATAGGGGACTCTACAGCATTCGAAATATTAATTTAAAAACAAAAATGCAATCTTCCAAATGTCCCCAACCTGTACTTGGGTAAATATTCACCAAAATGCAGTGCATCCTGGAAATAGGATTTACAGAGAGAGGCCTACTTTCATTCATCTAAATAGTCATGCTTCTGTGTTGTTGTTTTTTTCCATAAAGCTTCGTTAAAGCAAGCCAAATCTAGGTCGTTCTTAAATGCCTGTGACCACAGCAGTATGTCAGCAAGCGTCACTTCCCCCGTCTCACTCCTTTGGCCTGAAATGTAATTGAACTCGAGTAAGGTTCTGAGCAATGTAAGACCCTGTGCAATGTAGGAACCAAGAAAAAGTAGTTTTATTTTGATCTGAATTGAATATCGCTGCCTTTTGATCTTCAAAATGTATCCACAATAGACTTAAAAAGGATTCAAGGATGAAGAACATGAAAGGCTACCTTGCTTAGCTGCTTGCATTGCATCACATCGGCTTGGGTGAGAAACAGACAGCGAGAGAGCACGCTATGTACAAAAATACTTGTGCGCGCTGGTTTTTATTTGTATTGACAGTAATGCAGTTGGGTTTTTTTTAAGATTGTGTTTTAATGACATTTACTTGTTTTCTGTGTGGATGTAGCACTGGGTTACCATAAATTCTGGGAGCTGCTATGATGAAGATTGACAGAAGCAGTTAGACCTCTCTTTTCTTGTTATGCCTTGCTTTAATCAGTGTGAGTCAGAAGACTTGGGCAGTACACAGTGATTATATCATCGAGCTACTGAGAGATCTGAAGTGATGTAACCGCACTGTAGCTGCCAGATTGAAAGTTCAGATTGTTGTTGAGAAGATTTCGTAGCATTTTATTACTAAAATGTTTTTGAGCACACAGATCTAGATAGGTGGGAGCCTGCTTTTGCTATATATCATGAGGTGGAAGCAGTTAAAAGAAAAAAAAAGTGGTACATAAGAATGAACACGGGTGTTTCCATGATTTTCTAAAACGGGGTGACACCGGGTAGACCATGAGCCAGTGAGGGTGAGCCATAGGAAACAATCAGAAATAATTACTAAACAGCTTGGAAACTGATATAAAACTTCAGCATTAGCTGGCTTGTATAAATATAAATGCCACAATAAAGACTAAACTAACAACATGCAGCACAGGCTTTTTGGTCATTAGAAGCAAATCACTGTATTTCA